CTTACTCTTGTTCTTGCACATGGTGTAAGACAGTCCTTGCCCTGAGGAACTAATGAAAGAATTGAGAAAAAGGGTAGCAAAGAAGTCATACTAGTAAATACTGTGATCATATACGAAGATTCACATTTCTGTTTTTCTGGGAACCTGTAAACAGAGAGATGTGGTCTTCGTAGAATTTACAGTCTTAGAAACAGTTAAGAGGGAACATAGTGTGCTGTTTTCACTTTACAGAGTGGAATTGGCACAAACCAATAAAATAATTGTTCTTGAAATAGCACTTAAAATCATTGGCATAGCTGGAGCACCGCCCTCCCTTAGTGTCTTCCTGACCTGTACCTTAGCTGGAAAAACTTCCTCTCCTTTCAGTTCACTTTTCTGTTTGCTTGCTTGATTTGGGATTTAATATGCAACTGCTAGTCTGGGAATTCTGTACTGCCCTGACATCATCAGTAAAGGTGTGTTTTCCATTCTTAAATGAAAATGACATTGTCTTGCTTTATCTGGTCTCAGTTTAACTACGTACTGAGCATTTGTTTTACTTTAGGCATATAGGGAGTCCCACTGACTTCAGCAGTGATTGAAGTGGGTTCTGCTGTATAATAAGTCGTCTTTTTCCAACAATAGCATGGGAATTTGTTACACAGGTAACATTAAATATGTCTGTGCACCCTTTAGAATTATGTCAGTGAAAAAACAGGATTATCTTCTTTTTTCTTCTCTTTCTGTTAGGATTTGACAGGTCTAGAACAAATGCTAATAAATTGCTCTAAAGCTCTTCCTGCCAACATCACTCAGATCCATGTCATTCCACCAACTCAGGAAGCATATTATGATCCCAATCTGGTAAGAAACATTGGTCTTAAAATATGGTTGCTTTCTTTGCAAAGCATGTATTTACTGTGCTTCTGTTTTCTGCAACAGCTAAATTTCTTGGAATGAGTGTACTACCATAGAAATATCCCTTGAGAGTAGGCTTTTTATTTCCCAGAATTGTTTCAACATAGCTTGTGATAGTAATCAGGCCTAATGTGTATCAGCTGTTCTGCAGAGTTTGCCTGGCCAGTGTTACTGGTGGCCTCTACCAGAGGAATGTCAAAGCTGTCAAATGAGTTACAATTTCTGCATATTTTTTGAGGATGAAACCTAGAAGTTGCAGTGTTTTTGCAAAAATAATATGTATTTTTCCTATAATATTTGTATGGATAGAAAATAATGTTTTTATACACCTGTATCTTTTGTTTTGTTTTGTTTTTCCACTCAGCAGTTGATTGAGAAACTATTGCTTCTCATTCCAGGAGAGTAAAGGATACACACGCTTTTCTAGCTGTAATATAAGTTTTCTACAAAGTACATCTTTATAACAGAGTCTGTAATTTTCAGTAACCTATAATCTATTTTCTTTCAGCCTCCAGTAACAAAAAACCTAGTGACTAATTGTAAACCTGTGACTGACAGAATTCGTAAGGCGTACAAGGACAAAAACAAATACAGGTATGTTGTTACAGTCCTTTGAAAACTCATGCTAGGTTTTGTAAAGCAATAAGAGATATAAGTACCTACATGATCAAAGATGTTATGTGTGTGTTAACAAATCTTAGCTCAATTTATTTTTACAGTGAAACTGAAGAAACATACTGGTATCTACTTATGTATGTTTCATTGTGCAGAATGATGTGATTTTTTTTTCATAGTTTCTTATTTAGTAGACTAAGTATTCATTCCTGTGCTACTTGTCGTCCTGGGCCAGATCCTAATTTGTGTTGTACAACAGTAATCCAGTATATCTTTAGATGGCTATATAAACTGAATATACGTAGTGAGTGAGGGCAGCTGAAGTAACATAAAAAGGAGGAAATGGTCTGTCCTGTACCTCAAAGTTGTAAATCTGCTTCATCCTTTCTTCTACTGAAGCTTAAAAAGAAAAGAACAAAAAACATTTTGGCCCTAACAAGCTTGTAGTTTACCTGCAAGGAGGAGGAGTGACATTTAATTAGAGAGGGAGGGGGAGAAGAAAAAGGTTTCCTGCCCCTTTTGGAAAGGGCAAGACAAACCATGCTCCTGTCCATAGGTTTGCTACTTGTGCAGATGTGCCTGAGGTCGGGTTTTCTCTGATCTTTCTTCTCTGAAACCTGCAAACCTACTGCACTCCAGTGAGGTTGTTTGCAGGTGTGGAGCTTACAGCCCTGGCTCCTGTGCATCGCCTCACCAGCGGTGGTGGGTCAGGGAGAGTGATGGGGAGTCTCTGAATCACACAGTTGCCCCAGGAGTGGCTACAAAGTCAAATAAAACTGTAGAATGAAAGGAGATTACAGATGCTGCTTAGGGCAGCTTTTGGACATTGTTATACATTAATTCCTAGTACCTCAAGTTGTGCTGTAAGCTTTATAAATAATTCCCTTCCCAGGAGAGTTTATGCTAAAAATGAAAAGCTGACACAATGGATGACATTGAAAACCATTGAGGTGGGGGCAAGGATTTTCTGTACTCAAACAGACTTATTGTAATGTATTTCTAACATTAGGATATACACTGCTCTTTTGTTCTGTTGAACTCTAATATTAAATAGCTGTGTTATTATTTTTGGAAGCTTTGTAACTGAGTATGTTCCCAGGTAAGACTTCAAGGAGCATCCAGGGTATTTTCTTATATCAAGATAAGACAGGTGAAAAGTATAATTGTGGTACCTCTAGTCAGACTGTTAAACTAGAGTTAAATTCTCTTTCAAACTCAAGATACCCTTCAGAGATGATATAATACTTTTGCATTTCATATACTTGTTTGTAAGTTATTGATTAGGTATGTGAGGACGGTTTTATTTGTATTTAAGGCTGTAGTTTTATACATTCTTCTGTAATTTTCTTCTATGATTTTTCTGGAGTTAGTGACTGCAAAATAGGAACATGTTTTCTTATGTCTGAAATGTAATTATAAATGACAGTTGTAAATTGTATTTTTTTTAATAAAGTACATAGGATAGTAAGTATTACATCTAGTCTCAGTTGTTACATTTATGCTAAAACTTGTAGCTTATATACTTTGTATTAGAATTTAGTTCTTTAATTTATGGGTGGCTACTAATCTATAGGAAAGTGGCTCTGTATTAGAGCATTAGCTGAAAAACATTAATATACTGATAGAAAGCAAGTGCCAAATTGTAATGAAAGTTGGGCAGTCAGAAATAAGTTATTAAATAAAAGGTTAATATTTATTGAACCTGACTTCAGGTTGTTTTATTGATATATAAATATTATTTTGACAAGGTTTGAAATCATGGGAGAAGAGGAAATTGCCTTCAAAATGATTCGCACAAATGTTTCTCATGTAGTTGGTCAGCTGGATGACATACGAAAAAATCCCAGGTATCCTGCTTCTTGATTTTATGAAGTTTTAAGGCGGTTTTAATTTTTTGCTTCAACTGTTTAAACTGTTTGTGTGTTGGAAAAATAATTTATTGCCGTGTATTTCACACTGTCTTACAAGGTAAGACCGATTTTAACCAAAACTACTTCTAGTTTTTACTCTTTAAGTGACTGCTCTCTGTTATGCTAGGGGGTTATTTAATTAATTTGTTACATTTTTGTATATCTAAAACCTTTGAAAACATAGCTCTTTTTGAGGCTTCATTTTTGCCATTCTGGAAGGCATACAGTTTATATTGCAGGCAATTTTATTTTAAAGGAAGAGGATTTTGATCCGCTTTACATAGCGATTTTAAAATAAAATTTAGGTGTGGATTATTTTGTTACAAAATCAGTTACAAAAGCATCTATTATGCTTTCATGCTCTGTTACAACATGGGAAGAGATACTTATTTTTTTGTTAATAGTTTGGTGACAAACAGTCAAGGCTGTTTCTCCGCTCTGCAGTGGTGAAAGGTTTAGATACGCAAATATGAGAGTAGACTCTGTAGTGTTCAATGGGGAAAATAAATGTCCTGGAATACATTTTACAGCAGCCACCTTGCAAAGCAAACGTTGGTATATTTGAGACTCAAGTCTGAGTCTGCTCTGCAGAAGCATTTAACTGTAGTCCTGAGCCCATTGCACAAGACTGCGATTCAATGAGACATGGTGAGATAATGTAATAGCAAGCTGACTTAGAAGTGAAACAGTGCTTCCACCCATCTCCTCTCCTTCCTTGGTCTCATTTGTACACTTTTATCTTGCATCTTGCTTCTGTCTTCAGAAATGTAGAGAGTTCTCTGCCAATTTAATGAGTTTGGCTTCAAGGAAGTGTCTGACAAGTGTCAAAAAACAGAGCAAGGAGGAAAGTAGGACCAGGTACCTTGGGCCAGGGAAAATAAAACCTCCTCCTGTAGGTCATAGCAAGCTATTGGGTAATCTTGGAGACCTGTAAAGCTACTCCATTATTTGCATTTGTAGATAAAAAGAGCAGGTTTTCACTTGCCTCTTACACTGTACTACTTGCTAGGTCATTTGTTCAGAAAGGGGAATGCCAGTCTTGAGACACTTTCCAGCTGAAGATAGTTTCTATCTATTGCTCCTCCTTACAAGAATATCCTCTGGCCATGTAACTCCTGCTTTCCAGTTCCCATAATGACCTGGTTCAAAAGAAAAGTGACAGTGCCCTAACTCATCCTGCTGCTTCCTCTTCCTTCTTCATTTCTTTGTACCTGCTGGCTAGGACTTTTTGCCTTGCTAGGCCCAAGAAGGGCATGTAACACGAGTTTCTCACCTTCAGTGCTCAAGTTCATGCTTGCAATTGCTGGCTTCTTATTTTAAAGGGTGGTTGCTGATGTCAGACTTGATCCTGATGCTGTGTTAGTTGTGGCATGAGTACGCCTAATGGATTGAGACCTTCTAGCAACTTAAAATGGAGCTGCCTGTTCTATGGAGTGATTACATCCTTAGATGAGGATGTGTTTGAGTAAGGGTGTCTAGATAGTTGTCTCAGGAGCCTCATCAAACTTTATAAGGCAGGTGAGCTGATCTGTCTTGAATCTTCCCTAATTTTCCTATGATGCACTGGCATGCTGTTAGGGACTCACCCTGGGACTCCATATATGTATACCCTTTTGGCTTTTATGTATGTTTGTTTGTTTGTTTGTTTTTTTCTGAAGGAACTGTAGTGTCCTGTAGTTCCAGACTGTTCCTGTAGTTCCAGGCTCATGAAGTGAGGCTGAGTCAATTGCTTGAGCTGTATTCCTGCAAAGTATAGTGCAGCACTGTAGTCATATCTTGTCAGCAAAGGAGAGCTGGCATGGCTATATAGGAATGCCATTTCCTTCTCTTTGCCATGTTTTCCCTGCGTGTAAAACAACATAATTGTGCGCAGTCTCTAAAAGCAGGTATTCAGTGCCTCTCTTGGGATGAACTAAAAGTATTGTTCTCTTACTGATCTGCCTAAAATGTTTTGGTTGGTTTTTTTTTCATCCTTAAGGAAAAGTGAGCCTTAATTATCTAGGTATTAATTTTGGAATATCCAAAGGAATTTCAGATTTGGTTTCTTTTGAATGGATTAAAACAGTCTCTTCCATTTGAAGCAGGTTAATATCCTCATCGCTCCTACTTTCTGTGCTTTGGTTTGCTTTGTGTAGCAGCCTCTGAGTCTGTAAACTGCATCTTGTTCAGATGAAGCTAAGCAGGGATATATGCTCCAGGAGTGCAGCTACTGCATTCCCAGGACTAATGAGCTGCCAGTCCAAGGGACGAGGTCAGGGATAGTCCGGAGTGAACTCCTAAAATGCTTATGGTGGAGACATATGATTGCCATAACCAGCTGCTTTGCATAGTATTACTTGATGGTGTAGATATAGCCTGCTCGTCTTTGAAGAGGAGAGGTGTATTTTGTTCTTCTCAGATGTAGCAGTTTGGACGGCTGCTTGTCCTCTGCACGTAATTGTCTAGAGACCAAGGTTACCAATTGCGGCAGATTCAGTACAGACTGAGGAAAAGCGGTAATGCCCTGTGTAGACCTATCCATGTGCTCCAGAGTTCTGCTTATTTCCAGCTTCATGTAGGAAGCCTGAACTCTGCTCTTTGAAAGAGCACGCCATACTATGGAGAATACTTATTTGCAAAGGTTAGCAATTACAAGGCATATGTCACCAGATACGATTTCTCCCTCTGGGGAAAATATAAGGGTTTTGTGTCTCGCAATATAAATGTCGCACGTAATCTTGCCCATATATGGGAAAAGGAATTTTTGTTGTCAAGTACCAGGTCAGAGTGACCAAGGGTACATAGCAGACTAGCACACTAGCTGCTGCTTTATTTTCAATAATTTGCAGTAACTTGTATAAGAAACACACAACAATCTAAGAAATAACTCCCTGCAAGAGGCATCATTGGGAGCATGCTTATTTGGTCACAGTGATTTCTGTATAAATTTTGTGCGGGTTGTTGTCACTTTTTATTTTGGTTGATTATAGAAGTTCAACTTTGGGTCTGTGATTCAGGTCGTATTCTGCCCAGTTTATACAGTGTTCTCAGTAACTCAAAGCCTGGGGACCAAGCTTTGGCCTTCTCTTGTACAACCTTCTATAGTTTTTTTTTTTTTAGGTTGACTTTCTCTGAAGAGCATACACAGTAAAATACTAATAATTTAGTATGTTTACCTCATACAGTGGAGCTCATTCTGTTATTCAGGATACTTTACTCATGATACTTTATTTAAAACTATAAAAACCCTTACCCAAATCGTAATACTGGCCTTCTAACCTGCTGTCTGTATCCGGTGGTGGGCTCTGGGATGATGCATACTAGTGCCCATTAGGTGGCAGCATTATATAAGTAGAAGAGAGAGAGAGAAAAGGGCTTGTCATTGGATTCCTCGGGTGTTTTGACTCGCTGTCAGCCCTGGTGCTCTCAGAATTAAAATCAAATTCATTTCAAATAATGCAGCAATAAAGAAACTGATTACCAGTATCAAATATATCCATTGTATTTTAAAAGGATACTGTGTGAATTTTGTTTAAAAGGATTCTGTTTGTGTTCTTGGTTTGCCAACACCTATGCCATATTATTAAAGGAGATGTTCTAAAAAAGACTTCTTGCTTTTTAGGAAGTTTGTTTGCCTAAATGACAATATTGATCACAATCATAAGGATGCTCAGACCGTGAAAGCGGTGCTTCGGGATTTCTATGAATCAATGTTTCCCATACCTTCCCAATTTGAACTGCCAAGAGAATATCGGAATCGCTTCCTTCACATGCATGAACTGCAAGAATGGTATGTTACACAGGTTCTCTTCAATATTGTAGTGCAATAGCATATAATTATAGAACATGCTGCTAGATGTGAAGAGATTTTAATGGACTAAAATTTAAGGTTTGCAGGATTTGGGTTTTTTAGTGCTCATAGTCATTAATAGTTCACTGATTTGCCCTAACCTACTTCAAAGAAAAAGTGTGGGGGGTAATATCACAGAATCACAGAATATTAGGAGTTGGAAGGGACCTCGAAAGACCACCCAGTCCAACCCCCCTGCCAGAGCAGGATCACCTAAACTAGGTCACACAGGAATGCGCCCAGGCGGGTTTTGAATGTCTCCAGAGAAGGAGACTCCACAGCCTCTCTGGGCAGCCTGTTCCAGTGCTCTGTAACTCTTACAATGAAAACGTTTTTCCTCATGTTCAGATTGAAGAATATAAACTGTTACATTTCTCACTAAGTGATTTTTTTTTTTTAAATCTGTCAGACAGCAATAATCAGCTGGATAATCATCAGAAAAGATACATGTGTCTCATTTTTACTTAATGTATGAAATTTTTATGTAAGTTTTACCTCTTGCCATTTTATAAATAATAACTTCAGAAATTGGGGCAATTGATTTGAGAATACAAACAAAAGGCTGGCAGGTGCAGTGATTGTAGTGCTACAAGCCCTGCCATTGCTAAATGACTGAGGGAGGGGAGGCAAACCCATTTCAGCAGTTAGCTGTAGAAATTTGGGCTGGAGGAGTAGACATACTGTTGTCTCCCTTTTTGAGGACATCCATCAAGACTTTGCTAGCTTTATTTTGACTTGTCTGTAGCCAAACCATATTTCTACCAGAGTGGGTTAAAGAATGCCAAAATGCTGGTGGAAGTCTCTGTTTATCAAAATGTTTTCCAGAATCATAGGGCAGCCCAGCTTGGAAAGGACCTCGAAAGATCATCTGTCCCAACATTTTGTGGGAAAGGGAGCTTAGATGACATTATCAAGCACCCTGTCCAGTCGCATCTTGAAAACCTCCAGTGGTGGGAACTCCACCGCGTCCCTGGGGAGGTTGTTCCAGTGAATTATTGTTCTCACTGTAAAAAAAAATAATAAAAAAGTTCTTATATCAAGGTGACTCATATCATTTAAACTGTACTTTTTACCTTGAAAGGTCGGACTAGGTGATCCTTGTGGTCCCTTCCAACCTGGTGTTCTATGATTCTGTGAAACTTCGTCCAGTCCGACTTGTACTTATTGCCTCTTGTCCTCTCCATGTGGCCTTATGTGGAGAGCACCTCCATCCTCTTTCTAGCCATCCTTGAAGTACTGGAAAAAACTTTCTTTGCCTGTTTTGTGGAAACTCTTTATATATTTGCATTTGTAATATATGAAACTGTTTTTCTGTGTCTTTCTTTGTGCAGGAGGGCATATAGAGACAAGCTCAAATTCTGGACCCATTGTGTTCTAGTAACACTTATTGTATTTACAGTCATCTCATTTTTTGCTGAACAGGTAAAATTAATATCTTACCAAATTTATAATACTTAGTAGGTTGCTGTATCTTCAGGATAACATAAGATGGATTTTTTTGAAAATAGGTTTTGAAAAGTAGCTAGGATTTTTCCTTCATAAAGGAAGTAAAGATGTTACATGACACAAGATTAGGTTGCTTCAATTTTTAAGTCAGCATATGGAGGTTCCCTCAAAAGAGAGTCATATGGGGGAGAAGAAGAGTGGTATTCCCTTTTCAGGTGCCTTGTGACTGCCAAATCCCTTATCAGTTTGCTAAATTTGGATGCTTAAAATCAGTAATCGCTTTTGGAAATTCTTGGTCTTGCTGGTAAGAGTGCGAAGTCAACAGGAGAAGAAAATTCAAGTAATAGCAATACTCTAGTCTTAAAGAGAATCTTAAGGTATTTAGAGGCCCTGCCTAAATCTCATCCCCAAGTAATTGCAAAGACTCCTATTGAATTCAAACGGTTTTGAATCCAACAGGAAGGAAAAAAAACAACCTCCTCTTCTGCAAGCATAAAATGGCTTTCTTGAACATGATTAATCCTGCTAAACTTAGAGGGAGTCAATGGAACAAATCATATGGGTAATTCTTTGCAGGTTGGGGCCTTAAGTAACCCTTTCCGTGGTCTGATGAAGAGGGTGTAATTCTTGAAAGGTTGGCTTTTGATTATTATTTTTTTTTCCCACCTGTAACTTTTGCATGAATCTTTCCCTTGATTTTCAGCCTTTTGTGCATATCAGGAAACTTGCCCTCCATTAGAAAACTTGCCCTCCGCTAGTAACTTGGTTTCAGAAAGGGGTACTTAGCTCGGTAGTACAGCTAGGTATATAAATACGGTTTTAAGATGTCAGCTTTGTGTTGACCTTTTAGAAACCGAATGTAGCTTGATGTTATATTAATTTGAATACACAAATAAAATAATCAGAATATGGGCATACTGTATCTTTCGCTTTCTGCTTGTAATCTGGTTATTGAGAAGTCCAGTGGAAAAATGTGCACGCCTAATAGATGAATTTGAGAAAATAACTTTTTTCCTGTGCAGTGAGGGGGAGAAGAAAAAAATAAAAAAGGACAATATTGCCTGCCTTACTATGGATGGTACAGATGTTACAGTTTCTAGTTTGAAAGCCTCACCATCTGTGCACTTCTAGCCTTGCAGAGAACTAAATATTGTGGGTTTTTTTTCTCTCCTCAGCTAATTGCACTTAAACGGAAGTTTTTTCCAAGGAGAAGGATCCAAAAGGAAGTTGGTCATGAACGAATCAAAGTGTAGAAGAGCTTTATTTTGGAGATCAGTCTACCTCAAGATGTGCTAAGCATTTAAACTTTGTCTCTCATAAGTGTCTTTTATGATTTGACATTTAACGACATTGATATGATTAAAAAAAAAATCATGCATCTACAGTTACTCTTCATAATATACAAGCTGCTGGAGCTGTGACAGTGCAAAACAACAAAAGAAATGCAGAAAACTTGTACATAGGAAGTTTTCAACAGATCTTACTTTACAACTGTTAGTTCATGGCCGTGTTATCCTTTTTTATAAAAAGGGTTACCTAAAGAAATGTAGCTGCATTTATTGCAGTGGATGTTGCCAACTAGATAAACCGTTGGAAGGCAAAGTTGTTTGGGATCAACTGAACAGGTCCTTGATCTTGCATTCCGAAACATCTTGCAAATTTTTGTCGCTGCTGCTTTTTTAGCCCTACGGGAAAATTGAGAATTATGTAACATGTAATTTAGAGTAAGCATACATTTATTGATGTTGGCATTCCTTGAAGCACAGCAACAATTAACTCCCCAATTTGTAGTGTTTAATTGGGTTTTGGAAGAAATGTATGCTATAAAAGATACACATTAAAAGAACAACTAATGGTTATTTGAAAGATACTTTATATGTGGTGTATTATATTCCAAAGAATACAGTGGTGGTATTTCTTGATTTGATTACAAAGAGAGGGTTGTAATCAAATGAAAATGATCAAGGTATAGTATTTTACAAGCATTGTAAATGTGAAAGCAAAAGTGCCTCTCTACATGAATGGATAACAAACTGTTTTAATGTAGCAATGTATGGGAGCAGTGTTTCACTTAAGAAAATATTTGTACTGACATATGAAGCTTGCTGTTTTTAAATTTGACAGGGTTTGGCCTTGTATTTTGCTGAGACATCGGAATACTGTGGTTTTATGTGGGAAATGATACTGAATATTTTCAAGCAGAAATTTTTGGTGGTGTATCTTCAGTTAATTTTACTAGCAGTATTCAAAAAAGCATTAATTTTTGTAATCAGATGATGTAAAAAATGTATGTGCATATGTATTGTAAGATACTTGGTTTGCTTTGAAATTCACTAAAATGTGATAAAAGTTTTGTCTGTTGTTTCTCTTTTAAAGTAACCCAGAACTTACCCATTTTGATAAATTAGCCATTAATGTGTATGAATCTTTATGTTAAAAGTTATTTTTTTCCCTTAAAAACTTCCAAGAGTAATAATAATTTAATATTAATTTGAAGCATGAATTGATTTGCAAAGTAGAATCAAACTTCTGAGCACTGTAAAAATGCAAGCACTTATTAATGTTGTATTTCACGTTAGCAATATATTTACAGAAATTTAAATATAGGTAGTTTAAGTCTAGACTACTTCAGACTAGCAGAAAAGGAGACATTTTAAGAATTATAAGAAAGCTTTGATAGCTTCTTACACTTCAAACTGTTAGATTCAAGTTTGACTCGGATCTGGGTTTTTTGGGTTGGTTTTTTTATTTTTTATTTTTTTAACTAGCATTTGGGATTTTAATCAAAATAGTTGGAAAAACGTGGCTAAATTTTAAGGCAGTTTTTTTTTTTTCTGAAGTAATGAGTAAATGGTTTGCATAGGTAGCTCATCTGTTACTGCAGTTCATTTTTAAGCAGTTTTGAAGGCAAGTTCATGGCATTTCGTTTTAGCCAAAAGATGTAGCATAAACTTAGTGGGTGTTTCTCAGTGAAAATCACTGCTAAAATGTATGAGCGCGGTACCTGGGAAAAAAAGCAAGCAAGGGAAGCAAGACAAAATGTGAACAGTACTGCCGTGGCAACTAAGCACCCATCCAGCTGCTCGCTCGCTCACTCCTGCCAGTGGGATGAAGGAGGGAATTGGAAAAGTAAAAGTGCTTCAGTGGAGGTGCTACCTCCCTGAATGAGAAATTAAAGCTATTTCTATTAACAAAAAAAAAAATAGAAATGGATAACTAGTTTAATGCACAACGGCCCGACCTGGGCACCAGCTACCGCTCCTGGGGGCCCCCACAGGGGTGGTACTGCGCATGCGCCCGCCCGAGTTCCCGCCTTTTTCTTGGGGGCGGGTGGTGCTGGGGTGTAGGTGCGTCTCATCGTCCTCGTCAGAGTCTCTCGCCTTGAGGAGGTGCGGCTGTGCCGGAGTGTGCGTGGGGGCTGCGGGAGGCTCTGGTGCCACCTGGGATGAGGGGCTTTGGGCGAAGCGGGGTTTCCCTCCCACCCGCGGGAGCGGGTGAGGTGCCTACTCTCTCCGCCGCTGGTGGGCTCCCCTCCCTGTGAGGCAGCGGCGGAGTCCAGGCGGTGAGAGTGAAGAGCCCATTGCAGAGCAGAGGTAGAGAGATGAAAGGCGGTGGTGGGGCGGAGAGTTAAGGAACGGGATTAGGACACTGCGGTGCCCCTCAGCCTTTGATGCTTCAGTGGCTTCCCCTCAAAACCTGTGGTGGTGTGGTGTGGTGTGGTGTGGGCCCGAGTCTCCCTTGCTGCCCTGAGGTAGAAGCAGGTGGTCTCCCATGGGGAAAATGCCCACATAGGAGATTCACACAAATATCGGTTTGCTTCACATATTTTTGGGCAGGGTGAAAAAAGGAGGTGAAAAATAGTTAAAAAACCAACTGTGGATTGAAGATACTTGAACTGGCTAAAGCAGGTAGCTACATGGGATGGGTGAAGGCACTCTGGGGTTGTCAGGTGGCAAGACTGTTTCTCAGTGTATGGAGGGACTGAGGAGTTCTGCTTTGTATACTGATATTCACTGCAAAGGGTCTGTATGTGTGATAAAATACATATTCAACAGTTTAAAGTTGAAGCACTTTGGCAGCACAGAGATATGCACAGCCAGATGGTGTACTAATACTTTCCTCCTTAAATCATGTTTTCAACAGCTGCAGTAGTTGAAAAGCAGAATGCATCTTGTGAATTTTCTGTCATTTGAGGATAATTTTCATGCAAGAGCTTTTGATTTTCCATTTAAATTTTTAATTTAAAGAGGTTTGGGGTTATTTTTTTAAAGAAACTTACGACATCTAAAAATCTTCACTTGATACTATGTAGAGAAGCATCAACCACAGAAAAAACTGAATATTAAAAAGCAGTGTTCCTTACTTAGTAGCTTAGTGTGATCACATTGTATATACCCAATATATTTTCATAGCTATGGAAACAGAAATGGGAAACTCAAGTACGTGAGGAAGCTATTACATTGAGGGAACTTCACAGTCCTGGAAATTCAAAAGATCTTTAATGGACTGCTTAATTTCAGTGTGTTAACTAAATTTTCAGATCAATCTTTGCCTTGGCTTGTGGAACGCTTACTGATCTTTTTAGCTGTGTTGAATTGCACCTAGAATGAGAAGTTTATCCACTGCTGGCTCACATCTTGCTTATTTGGGATAACAGGGTACTTGTAGCTGATATTTTTTTTCTGTATTCTTTCCATCTTCCAAGTAATCCTGATATTTTCTGAATATTTAAAGATATGCCATGTAACACTTGAAATGCTTCATACCCCTTGCTAGTAAAGGTAGCAAGAGAAGAAATATTTCAGCAAGGATTCATTAGCTAGCTATTTCCTGTCATATATTATTTCTATTGTTGATAAAGTGCTAAGGAAGAATGATTTTATTTTGTTACTCTTGCATTTAATGATTACAACTATGCTCTTTTCCTCCTAGATAGATATTTTACTCCTTGGGTATTTCTAAAAATACACAATATATAAAAATTAGTATTACTGAAGTAAGGAAATCAATGGGTTTTTTTGAGAGGGCAGTGTATTTGTAAAAAATTCAGAAACTGCATTAGTTACATTACAAAATGCAAAGGCATAATAGCTAAAAAGAAAGATAATTCAGAAAGTAACTCTCCCATGATTTTTAAACATAACATGTGCGTGTGTATATTTTTCTGTCTAGTGTGGGGTGGGTTGTAGAACCAGATTGTTCTTTATGTTTTATCATTTCCATATTTTGTAAGATAGAATATTGGCATAGCTTTTGGGCAGTGCCACACTGGATATGATAAAATACATAATAAACATTATGGAAGCCCAGCAGGCAGGCACCTTTCAGAAGGTGCATAATCTACTTCCTTGTTTTTCAGCAGAATCAAGTATGTACCTATTAGCCCTGTTAATTTTTTTACCTTGTGGATTACCTCAAAACTAAAACAGTTTGACTGCTTGAATATCCTTACAGGTGGAGACTGTTACAGGAGTGTCTGTAACAGGTCAATGTAAGCATGAAAACATATTTTTCTTTGAAGTATTTTGGGGAAAGTTAAGTAACAAATACAGCAGTTTCAGTAGGAAGAAAATCTCATAATGGCACCATCAGGAAGAAAGCATGGAGGAAAAGCTGCTAAACCAGCACAGGAAGATCAAGCCTTACCTGATTATGATTTTAAGGAGGAAAGAAAAGATCTGAGTGGATCAGAGGAAGATATTAGAGAAGGTGCTTATATGATTTTTTTAATGTATTTTTTTTTAAGTGAATTGTTATGAATAGAAATGAAGACACTTCCATGTTAGCAAGTGCCAGAGTAAACATGGTTTGTAATGTTTGTGACAGCTGGCCTCCTATTGTATAATCTCGATTGGTAAAAGAAGAAAACACAGTAGAATTAATACCTCTGTATAGTGCACTATGATGTCCTAAAAGTATAGGTGAAGTCTTAACAGAGTAGGATTCTGTTATGTGATTTTGTTAACTTAGATTAATGCCGTATCCTCCTATCGCCTGGCTGCATGTGACATTGTGAGATCAGGACAGAACAGAGGAAGAGCTCTGCCTGTATGGAGTGCTAAGTCAGGCAAGGTAGTTGGAGTCTTAATGCTGGGAGGGTTAAGAGTACTTCAGGAAGAATCTGAACCAAAGAAAAGAAAGAGGAACAAACAGAGGAAGCTGAGGAAAAAAGAAGTCAACCAAGGGATTCCTGTTTAATTTTGAGTGTCATAAAGAAGTGGACTTTGCTTAAAGATGCAGTTCTCATTCATCACAGGATGATTTTTTTGTGAAGTTTGATGTAACTCCATTTCTGGATTTTTATCTTTCAGCAGCTATGTCTGGGTTTGTTTCTTAATTTCTCTCCTTCATTTGTTTAGACTAAATGCCTCCCCTTCCCACCCCCCCACCTTGTTAGTAGAAATTTGACCACCAAGGATTTTTATTTTTTGAAGAAATATGCGTATCTATTCATTATTATGCTTTTTCAAAGGTCACAGTACACAATTTCAGTATTTATTTTACAGTAACAAATATGTTTTACTGTAAATACACTTACAGAAAAGTGAAATTCTTCCACATTGAGGTTTTTAAATTTTTAGATTATTTTTACCTTTCTGATGATTTTTATATTGTGAGTGGGGTGTAATTGTATAGCAGTGGACAGAGAAACTAAAACGGGTTGAGACCAGTC